TGGCATGTCCCCTGTTGGACATAAACCAGGCTGTTGTATGAGAATCCAGCTAATGAACTGCCATGACTTTATTCTTTTTAACCAGTGGAATCCAGTTAGCATCCAGGCTCAAATGCCAAAGTCATTAGGCACATTCCTGAGGTGAAAAACTATTCCGAATCTGGGAAACAGGGTTTGACTGCCTGCCTGACCTGCTTCCTGCCCAGGCAATTTAAACCCACTTTTCCCCAAAACAGGTTTCCAAGATACAGTTGAACTCCTTGGCAAACTGACAGATATGAGCAACAGGCACACAGTGACACATAGTAGCATTACTGAACATCTGTAAGCATGCCATTAATTTTACACAGAAGGAAGAAGCTCAGAAGAGTACTGGCCAGAGGAAAACAAAGAGTTTTCCAAACACAGAGCTCTTCTTGCACTCTTGCCTTTGCACTGACTGCCCTGACAGAGGGGAATGATTCTTCATATTGACAAAAGTAGGATTCTTCATGAAGCATTAAACTCCTGTGGCAAGGAGATGTTCCTCTAACAAAGTTAATAAAAATGGCTGAAGAAAGCAAATCAGTCAGTTTTTCTCCCTTTATAGATTTCTGTTTCAAATCATCCTTCTTCAGAGACTGTGGAGACCTGACAGCTAATTTTGTAGACAGGATGGCTTCTAGGCTTGTCTCTGATCTCTAGATGATGTTATTATTTCTTCATAATTGTTTACTGTATAAAATCAACATCCTTCTCTCCAGAGGAAGATTGCTCAGAGTTACTCATGAGAGCCTTTCAGCTCACAGTTGTGGGCCTGCTGTCGTCTTGACAACACACTCATGTCAAGGTTAATGTCATGTCAAGGCACTGTTAGTACCTCCTTTCCTTGAGCAGTTATTCTTTCAACTGTAAGGACATTAATGCAATTTAAAGTTTCTTGGCCAACCTTTAGGGTTATTCCAATTACACGGACAGAAGTTTCAAGGATTCTGAGAGTACTGTGGGAGTAATTGTAATTGTGCAGAAAAAACCCTAGATTTTGGGTTGTGCTCTGAAAGCAATCACCTCCACATTCCAACCTGGCTGAGAAAGTGACTCTGCCCATGATCTCTGTTGTGTCACCTGAGCTTCCTTTTGGAACCTTCCCATTGCATCCCCATCTGTAAAAGTGAGATAATGTTTTTTATTAAGTTCATGGGGATTTTATAATTCAATGTTCATGAAGAGAACAGAACTGCAAGCCTTTCTGTGTTACTGCTAAGTGCAAAACTTCCCTAAATCTTGGAGAACAGAGTCCCAACACAGAACCCTCAGACCACATTGAGAGAGGAGACATAGCTCTTTTTGTTTTACTACAAAGTGAATAATTTAAGAATATTCTTGCTCACAGTCTTGAAATCATCCTTTAGGTGTCCCTGGGCAGAGCTGGAGACAGCAAAGTTTGTGTGTCAACAGCTGTTATGTTAACTGGTTCAGTAGGACCAAGGGCAGGAAAGCACCTGCCTGTGCCAGTGCCCTGGGCAAGACGTTCCTCTCTCTGTTATTCTAATGCCAGTCAGGCTTATGTAATTGCTTAAATAATAAAAAATAAATCTCTATTGCTTGTCTTGCATGTATGATCTTATAAGTGCACCCATTGCACATCACCCAGACTGCTTAGGGTCTGACTTGGAGTCGGTCAGATTTATTCTTACGCAGCCTCCCTCCCCCAGGGCCTCTGCCAGCCACTGAGATCCCCATATTCAAAAGCACCCAAACACTATATTCCTCTTGAAAAATACGTGGATGCTTTAATTGTCTTCCTGGGTTTCTATGACAACCACAGCAACATAAACAGCCTTGCTGGCAGCCACAAGAGACTGAAATCTCTGCTCTCTTCCCTCCCCTCCCCTGAACTTCTCAATGTTCAGAACTTACTGTAACCAAATAAATATGATTAACAATAAACACAGAGGTGGTGTTGAGCACACCTGTCTGGCACTGGGGAAACATCTTGCAAATAAAAGTACATTACAATATTTTATGATAACAGTCAAAACATTGCCTGCTATATCTGAAGTACCTTGGGACCAACTGTGAAAAACAGTGCAAAGCTATAAATTTATAAACAGGAACTTTCTATGTAAGCTTGCATGGCTGCAGAGAGTTTTAAAAATATATAACAAGGTCTTCTCTGTTTGTTGGTGCCTCTAAGCACCACTCACCTTGCTCATAGGTTACATATCAGGAATAGATAAGCCCCTGAGTGTCAGGACAGTCAAGGTTCAGACAGCTGCAGAGCTGTGTGGGTGCACACACATCGTATGGTGCGACTGCAGGCATCTCTCCATGGCTACAGCTCCCAGCCTTCCAGCAGGAAAATCATAAACAAAATGTGATCACAGCAGCAGAAATGCCCTGCACAGCACTGTCAGCCCGAGTCCAGGAGAAGCTGTTTCTCTGAATTCCCACATCAGGCAGCATAGTGAGAGCTGCTGCTTCTGACAATGCTCAGACATCTGAGGTCCAACAAATTGCTCAGGTCTTTCTTCTCTCCTGAGCATCATTAATGGCAAAATAAATTTGCCATAAGAGACCAGCATAACTCTGGAGGTTTTAAGCCATTTAAACCCATCCATCTATTACTGAATGGCCTGAAGCCATCAGAACACACAGGACTTACAAAGAGGTTGCATGTAATAGTTATGGTTATCAGCTGTCCACAGGTCACAAAATCATCTTTCAAGTTATCAAACCACTTTCTGATCATAAAAATGCCATGTACTTTTAAAATAACTGCCCCTGTATGTCTAGTTTGTGACAAAGTAACTTTGTGAAAGGAAGGGCTGCCATTTCCTTCACCAGTGCTGTTAGTTTCTCTCAGGCACTTGTTCTCCCTATGCTGCCAGAGAAATCCAGGTGACTCCAGCTGCTCTGAGACACAAGTGGGGATGTAACTATGCTGTTTTCCCTCCTTCCTTGGCAGGGAAATCCTATGGCTCTGTTTGACTGATTTTTCTTTAAAGCAGACTCAGGATTTGAGGAAATGGAGCTGTGGGGTGGTTTGTGAATGTGAACCCTTGGAAATCAAAACCTATGGTGATTCCTTCTGGGCTAGTATGCAGAAATACATGTGTCTGTGAGGATGAGGAGGAGAAGGAGTTGAGGAGGCAAAATGCTTCTGTCTTTCACAGGGCTTGGAAAGCGCAGAAGGAGCCATCTGAGATAGAAATTAATTAAATAAGAACTAGAAATGGGGATGACTATTTGAAAAAAGAAATGTGGATATTTTATTGGTTTTCTATCTTAAGGCAGGACTTTCCCTCCAGTGACAACCAATATAACAAGTTTAAAATAGTTTCCTTTTCTCTTGCAAGATTTTAAGCAGTGTCCTCATGCTACAAAATTCTTGCACAAAATGGAAATATTGCATTTTGCAATATGGAAAGGAAATATTTCTTCTTACTTATCCAGTTTACCTCAATAGGCTGTCTAGCAAAGAGTGCTATGTGAGAGTGAATCATGAATATGAAAGGACTGCTGATCCCCACATTTTCTATGTTATGCAGTAACAATGCCTAATTAAATAAAGTTTGATTTTATCTATCAACTATTTATAACAAGTTTTTGTTTCCATGTATGTCTTCCTGCGTGCTAGTATGACTTGGCCAATTACAAACACGTTACTTCAAACTACAGTATATAGGAAATTAATGTTTACTTGGAATACAAAAAGACATCTGTTACCTTACAAATATGAGAGTCTAAGTGCTGCAGAATATATTTGGATATCAGGCAGTATGCAAGGTACATTGCATAATGCACCCTTGAAATTAGTCACAGAACAAATAAGTTGGATGACATTTTGTAGTATTCATTTTTATTAACTGTAATAGCCCCAAAATGATCACAGTACTTTTAAATTCGGATGACAAAAAATGTAAGCTTCTCTTTTCTGCATCTGGAATGAATTAATAGGCATAAGATTTTAATGGTACTGAAATCAAAAGGAGGGCAATTTTAGAGTAATTTTAAATTAATGATTCTACAATTAGTAGGTATTTTCATACCTTTCACCTTTGTCCAATATGACTCACTGCCACTAAGGCACTTAGTTTTAACTCCTGAGAAATACATATGAAAGTTAAAAAAATTTTTAAAAAACCAAAACCCAAACCACCAGACAAACCTTTGCCTATTTCCCAAGTATGTTCATGATGTGTGGGTGGCTGAAATGAGTTATGGGGAGGTAGTTTTATCAGAAGTAATTACCTAATTCCTTTGTGGCTCTGAACCATTCTAAACTCTAATCCAAGCCCTAATCATTATTAAAGTATTCATAAAGCCTTTACAAGACAGTGTTCCAACTCATAAAGCCATTCCTTAAGAATAGTCAGTACTTCAGAAAACTTGAAGATTGCTGTGACTTCACAGGGAATCTTTGTGCTGCTTAAGAAAGAGGTGTGATGTATTTTGCAGTTGCATTTTGACTTACCTATGAATGCCCATGTTTTTACAGTCCAAGTGTAACATATGGCATGACAATGCTTTTAAACACAAAACCACAGAAATCTGTGGCCAAAACCCATGCTTCTGACAATTTGAACTTTTCAGATTTTGATCATTTTAGTTTATTCAGCTGAGCTGATTGGTTTCTATAGTAGGCCAAGATTAAAAGTGTGGTTTAATTAAAGCATTTAAAAAGAAGATTAATTCAGAGAGCTTGAAGTATGTAACTAGTGAATATGCTACCTCAAAGGAATGAAAACATTAAGGAAAGGTAATTTACCTAATTGTTAGTGTACTTTTGCCATAATTCCTAAGTGACAGACTACACCAACCTGGCTGCACACATCAGGGTCAAGGCTTTTATTTAGAACAGTTAGAAAGTAATCACCCATTTTTGACAATGCCAAACTATTTTTTTCTTTCAGAACATCCTAAGAGTAACTTTTTATGTAAAAGCAAAGTTGTTATCAATAGCATAAAATGCACTCTCTGTAGAGCACAAGACCAAAAAATCTTGAAAAGTGACATACCTGCCCCAAGCTGCTTTCATTGTAGAATCTTTATCAACAGGAATGCATGAGGACTCAACAACGCTTGATTTATTCAATTTGTAGCAGAGACCACAGTCTGGATCTAACATACATCCATTACAATAACTGAAAGAGAAAGAAATAAATACTTAAACAACACTTCGTTCATTTGCACATGTCAAAAACAACAGCATCTCCTAGTCAGTCTTGTAATGCAGGTAGTTCAGTTGTCAGTGTTGAAGACAAGACAACAGAACTTCTCAAAAAACCATCACATATTGCTTTCACCTTCTTCTGTGACACATTTGGTGGTCCAGTTGCAAATGTCCCTCGTCTCTGACGAGGGTCTAGGATAATTCACTCACAGAATGAACTTTAATTAAAAAAAGACAGATTGGGCATGCAGAGGAAGAATCATCATAGAATGGTTGTGTTGGAAGTGACCTTAAAGATCATCTAGTTCAACCCCACTGCCACTAGACCACGTTGTTCAGAGTCCTATCCAGCCTGGTCTTGAACACTTCCAGAGATGGGGCATCCACAACTTCTCTGGGCAACCTGCTCCAGGGACTCACCACCCTCACAGTAATGAATGTCTTCCTAATGTCTAATCTAAACCTGAGTTGCTTCAATTTGAAGCCATTCCCCCTTGTCCTATCATACATGATACCTAAAAATCAAACTAGAATTTGGGCATGTACAGATATGAGAGTCAGTCCGAGATCACAATACCATGTGTGTCCATGTGGAAACTCAGCACCCGAGTTCCCGTAACATTTGGTGGAAGGAGTCAATATGTCAATGGAGCCAATTCACATACAGGCATCTGGTGCCCAAAAATATCCCAACTGCCCTTTACTTGTCACTGCAGAGTGTACAGTGCTCTTGCAGATAATTTCTGTGCATTGTACTTGCCAGCTCTGTGCAGATGTCTCTGATTTCCTTGGGAGTCTCCAAAAGCATGAGATGCCAACGTTTAGGCAAAGTTTCCTCAATGCAGTCTTGTAAACTGTTCAAGTGACCAGAAGCAAAACTGTTCTCTAGATACCACTGGTTGCACTGACCACATCTCCATTGCCTCTACTGGGAGCCTGGACACCAAGGGCTCCACAGATATTTCCCTTAGGTGTCAGTCTGAAACCTGTCCCTGAGATCAAACTGAGTGGGATGTAGGTGTGTGAGCTACAACAGCATTCCAAAGCTCTCCACGCAGTGCAAGTTATCTGAAAGTTTCTAGCACAAGTTTCACCAGGTCTTGCAAACACTCACTCATTGCTCCTGTGATTAAACTATGCAGGCATTTATCTTCCTTGGAAGCCATCTCAGATTCAGACACACATTTTCATCTGTAAAGCCCCTGATATATTCTAAAGCAGAACTTTAGGAGTTAAAAAATAGGAGAATGAGCAACTGTAAAACATAGGATAAGTGTAGAAATCTGAAAATTAAAATTTAAATGTAACATCTGGAAATGTATAATTACAGTGACCAAAATAGCTTCAACATATACTCCTGTAATAACAAAATCAAGGAAATAATCTTTTCGGAGTGTGTATCTTTATCACAACAATGACTTTGTGAATGAAGAAATAATCTGCCTAATCTACTATACCATTATGAGATAAAGTAAAAGTAACTGCATAACAAAGTCTCAAGAAACTAAAACAGTAAAGCAGATTATATGGATTTAAAAAGTCTGAAAGTACATGCTTAAAATCTAGTCATTCAAATTCTTCTTACTATGATGTTTCTAAAAGAATTACAAGAAGGTCAATTCATATGGTAGGTGGCAAAAAGAGAGGGCTGGGACTATGTTAAAAAAGCGTATTCGTTTCTATTTTCCTACTTCTCCAAGTTTCAGAAACTTGTGCTCTTTGCTATTGTGTTCTTTCTAAATTATGAAATTACAGCAGAATTTCCATGTTGTCTACATTTAGAATATATATCTATTTTAAATATACCTTCCTCTTGCTTGATTGACACGTCAAATTCAAGTTTGAACAGCTTTTTTTTTTTAATTAGGAAAGTTGCATTATATCAGCTCTTAACTGAGATACTAACTGCAGAAAATATTTTTACAATGGAGATGAAACAAAACTTTCAGATAAAAGCCAATCATATTATCTAACCGTAGTAAACATTTCTTCTCTTGCAAAGATAAATGAGAAAATTGTACTTTTGCAATTATCAATTTTCAAAGGGAAGGACAATACCCATATTACAGTAGCAAGACTTAGTGAGACTTTTGTTACATCGGTATTAGTACAGCAATGGGCAGTAACCAAGAGTTGACAGGAACAGAAGACAGCAGGCGAATAAAAACATTTTTATAAATCACAAATGTATTCAAGTATGCAATAACAATACTAAAAAAAAATGTATAAAACTAATATTTTCACATAGTGATAAGAATCTCATGATATCAAACAGGATCTTGATATATGATTTTCAAATGTAGAATATCATCTACTCAAATGATGTTATCAAAGTACCTGTTAACAACCTGAATTTACAAAAAGCAGGGTGCCAGCACATCCAGCATGGTGCCCTGGCATAGAAAGCCAGTTTTTTCCATAGAAAGCAGTTGTTTCCAAATACTACATGCTATCAAGTGAAGAAGTGGATTTTTAAGTCAACTGTATGCAAATTATATTCAGTGTGAACGCCATGTGCAGAATTTAACAGATTAAAGTGGCCTTTAGGCAACAACTCTCTTCAGAATATTTCAGGATTCAAGGTTTCTCTAGATTTATTCTTTTTAGGTTTTACATTAAGCAGCCAAATACCAGAAACCAGCCAGAACATCAGCAAGACACAGGAATGCAGAGACTGACAATGAGACACAGCGATGATTGTCATCTTTATGGTGCTGCCAGCAGAGGACAGGATGGGGACTGGATACCTCAGCATTTTCCTCAGCGTCCTCAACAGAATCAATGCAGAGATGAAGCACAGAGCTGAGCTGTGCTCTGTCTGTTCTGTCCTGCTGGGCTCACTCTATGGATAATGCAACGTAACCTCATTTGGCGCTAGGCATCAGTAATCAGACAAGTAGGAAGCAGAAGATATTTATTTCTCCCTCCCATCCAGAAAAAAAATGAAGAGATTTGATTATTGATTCCAGTGTCTATATGGCTGTTACTTCAGCTGATCCTCCAGTTTTATTTGATATCATAGAATAATTTAGGTTAGAAAGGACCTTTAACATCAAAAAATCTAACTGGTCTTCCTTTTGGCATTCGACATAATAAGGGATGCTGGATTTCATGTCATGCCAAATGTCAGAGGTTACAGTTTCTCATAAGAATTTCAATAATTTAAAATTATTATTTTCTACAGCTTTTCCAAAGCTTGTCTTTCAGATTGAACAGTTAAATAACTATTTAGAAGCCTTTACTTTAGGATTTCTCATCATTAACTATACAATGAGTTCATACAATCAGGCTTTGACTTTAGGTTTTAGAGACAAGACCAATTTATGTCAAGGAAACACAGAAATTCAATATACAAAACTTAAAGCCCTTTCAAATCTAACTCCCAGCAGACTTAGGGTAGGCTGTTCAAAACATTTAACATTCTTCTGTGCACTGTTTTATCACTGACACAAAATTTTATGTTGTCTTTGATAAGATGAAGACCAATGTTTTTTCCTCCCAAATCCCAAAATATACACATTACAACTGTTTCATAACACAGTAAGGAAATCTGTGTCAGTTAATAAAGTCTAATGATCACAGAAGACACAGCATGAAATAAGCAAAGAAGACTTTTTTTCAAAGAAGCAATAAAAAAACAACCAAAGACATCTTGTGCTGAGGTTGTTTATTCTAGAAATAAAATATATGGTAGTTTCAGGCTTATGTCCTTATTCACGCCAGCCCCATTGCTGTTTGCTAAACAAAACTATTTAACCAATTTGAAATTGAGCACATATTCTGACATACCTTCTCATAGTAATGTAAATAATATAGGACATAGAATATATCAGGAAAAGAAATGCACAACATAAAACTTACTACAGAGCTCCTTTCTGTCCTCAAATGTACCTTCTTATCGACCCTACCCATATATATCCAAATATATGTCAGAGGATAAATCTACAAAAATACTGATAATTCTTCAAATCTACACCACAGATCAGTTATGGTCTCGAAAGCTCTATACAAGAATACTCCAGGATGTCTAGATTGGAAAGGAAATTTGCATCCAATTATAAATGGGAGATATGTTTCCTTTACTTTATCATGAAATATTTATATTTGTGCTAAGTTTATGAGCCAGTGTCTTGAAAACAGGTTCACCTGTGAAGAGCCAGTTGAAAATTCCCAGGCAGGATGGTTCTCTACCAGACTGACAATTCAATATTGAATTACCTGAGAGAGATTATTTGATTTTGATGAAACCAGGCAGCATTACAGCAGAAAGGTTTTATAACGTCCTTGTTTCCCTCCCTGCTTACCAGCTGGGCTCCTAGGCAACCCAACATGAAGGCAAGTGTCTAGACTTCAGATGCTTCAGTCTGTGTAGCAGAATAACAACAACCAGGAATGTGAGGCTCCAGAAGTTCAAAGACACCCAGCTTCTTTGCATATCAGTGTGGCATGAACTCAACAGAACAAAAGTCTCAGCAGCTTGACCTTTCAGTTTATGGGGAACTGCCATGAAATGGGATTTCTGGGTTCCTGCTTCATCGTCACAGCATGTTTACTGAGAAGCTGATGGACTATTAGAATATATATCCCCAAATCTGCCATTCCTCCCTCTGATTCTGCCAACACAGTCAACATATTCTCTTTATCTGACCAAACAGGAATAACTGACATCTAGAAAGGCAGACAGCATTAACTTTGAGGTACCTCAATAGCAATTTCTTGCCAGCCTGAGCATCAGCAGCTTTCAAAATACTCTGCTCCAGAGCAGCCTGCCTGATTAACTGTTCCTTAGGTTACAGGTTGATCACAAAGTTCACAGCACCATCCTCTTTCACAGAGATCTTACAGTGTGGGGATGAATCATTAATTGACTAGATGTGCACATTTTTCTTGATACCAAAATTACTATTTTCTTTCTTCCTAACAGTGTAGTTTATGAGCCTCCAGTACAGTCTCTAAAAATACTGAATAAAA